GGCAGCTTTATGTGCGTTCACCTTACACAAGGTGGAGCACACGTCACTGGTGGAAAGTGTGAGCGGCAGGTCGTCAGGAGGGAGAACAGCTTTGATGGGTGATTCTGTGTTTCCACGACAAAGCGAGCATAAAAGTTGTTCAGTTCGTCAGGGAGGGTGGTATTGCTGGTTTGGGGTGTGCTGTTTGCTGGTTTATAGTCTGTGAGGGCATGGATGCCTGCCCACATGTGCCGAGGATCATTGTTTTTAAATCTGTCCTCAATGCGCAGTTTGTAATTGTATTTAGCTGACTGAATTCCCCTATTCAGATTGGACCTTCAGATATGGCAATAATATGGCTGATATGGCTTTAAAATGCATGATTTCAGCACAAAAGACATGAAGATCAAAACCTGAGTATCTGAGGTATGAGCTGTAAGGCACATGCCTATTCAGGAAAAGGGGGCGGGGAGCAGCACACACAAACAGCCTGTTTCTGCTTCCACTCAAAATAGGCATTTTCAGAATGATATAATAAATGATCTGTGGGGTATTTTGAGTATTCTGAAACTTCTCAGACACATTCTGGGGAACCTGAGACTTATATTACATCTTGTAAAAAAGGGTCATAATAGGTGCCCTTTAATGCAGGCAGCATCTAAAGATTTTTACTCCTCAATCTTATTATACTTCATTTTGGGGAATTCCACTTCCATCTCATTAATCCAATGTTCCTGTTATAGGAGTACTGTATTAAACTCTGTGACTCATGTCCACTTCGCCGGATGTCTATCTGCTGTCTCCTACACTGTTGTCTTTTTCTCCCCTTCTTAATCTTCCTCAGTCTTGCCTCCGCTTGTAGTTTTAACACCTCTTTACTGCGTGTTGCCCTCTCATTAACCTTTGTGCTTAGTTGTTCATTAATTTACTTTTTACACCTTTTACTCATTTCATCCTGTTCTACATTATAAACAAAGGAAGTCAGGTACATTTGTTTATACTCTACATCAATATAATTTCAAATATTTCAGGTACTTTCCAATCACATAGCATTCAAACGTCTTTATATTCAAGCATACATTGCCTTAAAGGGCACCTATTATGCCCCGTTTTATAAGATGTAATATTGGTCTTTGTTGTCCCCTGAATGTGAAATTTCAGCTTAAAATACCCTACAGATCATTTATTATAACATCTGGACAATTTCATTTTTGGGGCATGTCTACAAAAGAGCTCTTTTGGTGTGTATCACTTTAAATGGAAATGAGCTGCATATTCCCACCCTGTCTTAGCGTATACATCTCTGCTTTGCATACCTACAGCAATAAACAGCCAGAAGAAGCTACATCGAGAGAACCGGTGTTTAGCCGTCCATATGGAAATCTAAACACTCCGAAAGTGGGGCGAAACAGTGCGATGTTACAGAGCTCGAGCCGCACTGACCTGTCATCGGCGCAGCTCAATGGGCCAAGCCGCGCGACTGACTCGACAGCACAGGGAGGATGTGTTTGAGGTGTTGTGTCCATCAATTAAAATACTTTGATAACGGACACACACAAACACAGTTAAAACGTTAGCTAAGCACGATAATGACATGACATTCACAAAGCAGTCTGGAGGGAAATTATTTGCGCAGACATAAACGTAAATTTTGAGGCGCATTACCTTGAAAAATAGAAGTAATCCACTGCATCTTCAGTGGCTCAGATGTTGGGAGAAAATGAAGACTCTTTTGTTCAGGCTTAAATCCAAACACAGAGCACCGGGATTGCTTACGAGACATTGTACAGCTGCTCGAGTGCAGAGAAAATGGAGTACAGTGTACAACCGCTGAGGGCGGAAACTATGACAATCTAGGACTGTCAGTCAGCCACCGTGAGCGGGACCTAAGCAATGTCATGTCACATTGCTTAGAGAATCAAAACGGCATGCCTAAAAAAGAAAATGCCCCTGTAAATCACTTTGAGTCAAATATCACCTCGTATTAGGAAGGCAAATTTTTTATCATAATTTTTTATTATTGATCAGAAGGTGATCCTTAATTTTTTTTAATTAGGAGGCGAAGTGCACCTTATTACAAGAGGAAAAACCTGCTGTTAACCTGGTGTGTGATAGGTATGGCTGTGGAATGGGGTTTGGCTGAGGACAATTTTTCAGTCAAAAGATTGTTTTGTTTTTTTTGCTTTAACCCCTGCTAGTGAGAGTGATTTGGTTTAATGGGGATTAAAATATAAGGAGTGGGTGGATTTTTGTCATTGTAGGGTGGTTGTGTTCACACACTGCCAACACACATTTATGTTCAAACACGATGTAAAAGACGATTTTGCATAATTCGTAGCCTTTCACTTAAATGCAAGCAAATAACATTTCTTTAAAACAGGTAAATAGCAATGTCAGTATCAGTATCAAAACAGTCTAAAAGTTTAGAGGAAATAAGTTTAAAAATAAGAGTACTTGGTGTCATCAATCGAAAAAGAGTTTTATTTAGGAGGCTGATTACATTGACACTTTAAAACAGTGGTTGCCAACCCCTCGATTGACTGGTAGATCTTTATCATCACTGTCCCAGTAGCTGCCAAAAAGAACAGAAAAATAAGTACAAAAATACATCACATTTCTCCAGTCTTTGTACTATTTTTTGTACTTATTTTTCTGTTATTTTCGGGAGCTACTGGGACAGTGATAAAGACAATACATCATCCCTGAATCTGAAAACAGGACTTTAAAGGAGGCTAGAGACTCTGAAGATGGGTGCAAAGAGGAGAAAACACTGTAGCAGGCAGAGCAAGTTCACTGTTCATTATATATGAGCAATATCACACTTGTAACCATGCTATATGGCTCTATATCTGCATGGCTGTGATTACCTACAGCACTTGGCCTGTGGGCTTGTGCCTGTGGCCAAATCACAACCATGCTGAACCATGACTATTCGTGTGATAATGCTTGTATGTAATGTACAATATTATAAAAGTGATGGAATAATAATAATAATTATTATTATTATTATTATTGTTGTTGTTGTAGATATTGATATGATTTGCCCATAGCCTTAACCATCATGCATCTCAAGGGGCAGAATAGCGCCTAAACCACAGAGGGTTGAAAATATTGTTTTGATTAGATGGTACTTGGATGCTGTGTGACCTACAGGTATACACCTATATCTATATATTGAATTAAGTTTATTGTTCTTACCATATTTGTTTCTTGTTTTAAGGATGAATATAACAAAATGAAGAACTTTACTGAATATATATTCATTTAAAACAAGTTTTAAAACCTATGTAAATTTTGCTTTTCAAGTAAATGCACATTCCTAAAAGTATCCTAGACAAGGCATATTGTTTAAGAAAAATATATTTTCATCTGTATCACCATGTCCTTGCCAAGACACTAGCACCAAACAAATTGTCTGCCCACATCAGATGTGTCATACAGTGGTGGCCAAAATTATTAGAACACTAGTATTTCAGCAGCTAAAAAATGGTTTTAAGTCGGTTATTTCTATCTTTTGCTATAATGTGTCAGTAGGAAATATCAGTTTACATTTCCAAACATTCATTTTGCCATTAATTGTAATAATCCAGTGAGATTTTTGTCTGACAACAGCCAGTGCTCCACACAGAGATCTGATCTGATTAGCATCCAGCCTGTCTGGAATGACATGAAGAAACAGAACAAACTGAGACAGACTCAATCCAGAAGAACTGTGTCTCCAAGACGCTTCAAGAAACATACCTGCAAATCTACCTGAGAAACTATGTGCAAGTGCACCGAGGGCAAAAGCTGCTTTAAAGGCAAAGGATGGTCACACCAAATGTTGATTTAATTGAGTTAATAGAAGTTAATTGATAAAGAAAATCTATTTATGACATTATTTTAGACAGCATCCTCATTTCACAGCATTTTTACACAAGTGCCTAAAAATGTTAACAGTACTGTAGCTTTGCAGGTAGGTTTCTTGAAGCATCTTGGAGATGCTGCCACAGTTTTTCTGGATTGAGTCTGTCTCAGTTTGTTCTATTTTTTCATGTCATTCCAGACAGACTTGGATGATGGTCAGATCAGATCTGTGTGGAGCACTGGCTGTTGTCAGAATCCTTGTGCAAACAAAATCTCACTGTATTATTACAATTAATGGCAAAATGAATTTTTAGAAATTGTATGTACACTCTTAAAAATAAAGGTGCTTCACGATGCCATAGAAGAACCTTTTTGTCTAAATGGTTCTATAAAGAACTTTTAACATCTGAAGAACCTTTCTGTTTCACAAATGGTTCTTTGTGGTGAAAGAAGGTTCTTCAGATTATAAAAAGGTAAGCAAGAGATGGTTCTTTAAAGAACCTTTGACTGAATGGTTCTTTGTGAAACCAAAAATGGTTCTTCTATGGCATCGCTTGAAGAACCTTTTGAAGCACCTTTATTTTTAAGAGTGTAGGTAAAGCTTTGATGCATGACCATTTTAAAAAAAATGATTATCCTCTGTATTTTATAGTATTACCATCACGACGTCATGTTTCCCTGTTCCTTCCATCTGTTTCCGTGATCCCGTGAATGACTGGTTCGAGAGCCTGGCCCAATGTTTACACTGGAATGTTCGTAAGAAACAGAGTCATCTGAGTTCTGAAGAGGAAGAGTTCTGACCACATTCCAAGCTTTTATAGCACTGTTACTTAGATATGTTCTTCTTTTGTCTTTCAAAAGTTTTAGTACATGCAGTAATGTTTTCTCGTGTTTGCCATAATTATCCAAGTGAATCTCATAAAACAATGTCTCATTTCAGCTAAAGAGGAAAAAATACAAAATTATATTTTGCTTTAAAAAACTATTTTTTGGACAATTAATATTTTTTTCCATTGTGACTTTTGGTTTCCACAAAAACACTGTGTGTGTGTGTGTGTGTGTGTGTGTGTGTGTGTGTGTGTGTGTGTGTATGTATGTGTATGTGTTTGTAAACTCTCATTAGAGAGAAGTAATTTTCAAATTGTATGCATTATGGCAATGAGAATTCTGTTGAAATGTGTGAGGAAAAGGCATAATTTCCTTCTTATAAAATCTTAATTCCTTCTTTCATTTTTGGGTGAAATGTAACCCTAATATACATGGCCACATATTCTTGGTGAGTTTTGTGAAAATTACTTTTAAATTGATATCTATTCATTCCATTATGAAGTACTGTCAGTTTTTTGTCTTTTAAAAGATTATAGCATTAACTGCATTTTAATATACTGCATTGTGCCTTATAGAGTATTGCATCAAAGTCAATCAATTAGGGGAAATTCTTTACAGTATTGGGTAAATGTATTTATGCCATAGTTAGAATGTATTGTACACACTGGTTATCGATATATTACATATCTGAGCTTGAATATTTTTTTTAATTTTATTTTATATATATAATACTTTTTTTTTTGTTTTGTTTTTTTGAAACCCTTGGACTTTTTCCATTGGTGTCTTGCAGCCCAATAAATAACTGAATTACCAATGCATTACAATCTGTGCATTGAATATTCAAATATACTGTAATGTTCCTTTTTTTAGTTTTGTATACAACTACCACAGGAAAAGTATACACTAAAGCCTATCCTAGATTTTAGATTGAAATCTAAGCTTTTTATATCAGTAAATAATACAGCTTCACGTTCAACAATGGCCTTTTACTCAGTTTACACCATATCTAACCTTTGCTTCTGTGTTTTACAACATCTTGTCAGAAGCCAGTTTTTATTTACTGTCAGAATTTATATTATTATTATTAAAAAGAACGTCCATAGCAAAAATGTTTACATAATGTTTGTCCTCGTCTCTTACTGTTTTCCAAAGTTCAGTGCAAATTGCATATGTCACAACATTTTGTAACTGACAATAATGTGTTTTTATGAGACATAATTGTCATTATCCATTCATATTATGTATGTTGACTCTCATGTTTTTTTTTTACAAATTTAGATAATAATAAATTGTAGACGATTGACAAATTTAAATGCATTTAAGGTGACAGTTGTGTTTCTTGCCTTCTTTTATTCTTGCCCTCTATTATATGTTTTATACAATAAAACACCACTTTATCAGTAGCTTTCTCTTGATGGTCAATTTAAAAAAAGCCATGTCATGCAGTTACTTTGTTTGGCATTTGTTTGCATATAAGCTCTTCCTCCTTCAATGTTCCTGTAGTCATGTAAAGCATCGTTTCAGAGAAATTTGTTGTAGGAAAAATAGTCAGGCTGTATGAAATAAAACTGCTTTATTATGTAATAATGGGTGTTTGTAAAGGAGGAAAAAAGTTTTATTTATTTATTTATTGCTCGTTGAGTTTCTACTAACGTGCTCTAACATCTTAATAAGTGAGCATTTTTTTCACAGGCCATGTAGAAATTGGAAAACTAAAACTGAAGTTTAGTAGTTTGTGATCTGAAAAAGCAAAATCAGTTCCACTAACAAGAATATTATATAAGCCAGATGTACATATAAGATCCAATATATGACCCCTGGAGTGAGTAGCAAAAGTTACATGTTGAGTTAGACTGAAACAGTCCAGAACAGACATCAATTCGTTGCATTGTACAGTGTTTTCATGTATATTAAAATCACCAAGAAAAATTACAGATGAATAACTAGCACAGACAAGAGTAAGTAACACTAATCTCAGAGAAAAAAATCAGAATGAAATTTTGGAGGATGATAAATTAAGAGACAGCCATTGATGTTTTTCCAGTCATTTTCAATGCAAGATATTCAAAAGATGCAACGCAATGGAACTTAATCTTAGATATTTTGATACTACAAAGCCAACCCTCCACCTCTACGATGGAGACGAGGTTGAGAGAAATAGATGTACCCAGGTGGTGTTAAGAGGTTTAAATTAAAAAAGTCATTGGGCACCTGCCAGGTTTCCGTCAAAAGTAGCATGTCCAGTTTTGCGTCAATGATAATGTCATTTAGCACTGATGATTTATCAGTTAAAGAGCGAGTGTTCAATAGCGCACATCACATATCTGAAGATGCAATATTGCAGTTTCAAAGGACGGGATCAAAGCGTAATGGTCTCAGATTTCCAAAGTTGATTACACAGTTTTCCTGTTGTGTTTTACTAGAAGCACGGGTGTTGGTACAGATAACTGGAATACTATTTGAAGACGATCAGTGATAAGTCCGAAGTTTCTTCTGTGAATGGTGTAGGCTATGTAGCGGGGTCGGCGTAAAATTCCAAGTTGTTCACACCATTTAAGTGTCTGGAGCCAAGTGGAGAGATCCTTTTAAAGTTCTAAGTTGAGCAGAAGAAAATTGCAAAGCCATCTCGGGAAAAGTCACGTTATTAACATCAGCCAAAAACAGCACAAAAAGACCAAAGAACAAAACCTGCAAATGGCTACGCGTCGACATGACCAAAAACCAATAGGGCCCACAACCAATGGGGCCCACAACTTATCGGTTTAACTACGTTAGCCAGAACCGTATCGAATCCACAGAAGGGAAGGCTACCCAACCATACCACAAAGGATTGACACCACAAAATGATAAAGAGAGTGGAGACTCACTGTATCAGATGTCGAGGAGGATATGGAAAGGAATGGAGAGGGCTCGCAGCCGATCAGTGTGAAGGGATCATGAAAAGGCCAGGTCAGTCATCCAAATCTTATTGAATGAAGAAAGTAGAGGTCTGCAAGCCCGTCGGGTCCCTTTTTTTTTTACAGATCGGGTTCGGGTCGGACTCGGGCTCAATTCAGCTTCTCTCCTTTTATTGTGCCCATATAGTCTAGGCAGAGCACACATAGGCTGTATGAAATATTGTTATATTGATTATATTATAAATATTATACATCGCCGCAATACGCAACGCATATACACACGCATAACAGGTGACAGTTGACCATGCAGAGCATCAGGGAGACGTTGGAGCATTACTAAAAGTTCCCAATGCTTCGGGAAAAGCTGCATTTTGGAAAACTGCAAGAGTTTTGATTTGATTATACGGCAAACAGTGAGCCAATTGGTCATGTGCAGTAAAGAATCTGCAAACACATAACAGCAAAAAACGCACGCAATAGGCTAAAGCGTGCCACAAAGCCCCAGCAAAAGTAATTACTATGAATGTGTCAGGGGGAAATAGTAAGGAGATATTTGAGTTATTTAATAATAAATTTGTGTTTTCTGAGTCCGTGTCGCAAAGATGAAGATGAAGATGACAATCCTGACTCACCATCTCCTCGTTAGACGCGCCTTTAGAGAGAAGTGCATCTTTACGGATTTTATAATGAAAGAGTTTTTGTTTTCGATTTGTTTTATTTAGTTTTAAAGTCGTAATTTAAACCTTATAGATAGATATATTTAGCAAGTCTGTGAGTCAAGTATTCGCTGAGTTTCGGTTCATCATTGTGAAGCACTCCTGGCCGAAATTGCAGAAAGCGCATCCTCTATGTATCCTTTATTTTATAAAAGCACAACGTTTTGTTGATATTGTGAGTGCACACAAATAAAAGTAGATCCTTTACAGTTCCGAATGATGTATTACTCTTACCTTTATGAGAAAAAATTACGGCATATTTTAAGTTGTTTCCAATGCAAGTGATCGCGCCGGCGCCTCCATGTCCTGTAAAGCGCGCTTTAGCTCTCAGCACAAATGATTAGATATGCGTCTAATAGCGCACATTTATATAGGTTAAACATTTAAACTAACATTGTGATATGCTTGAACTGTTTTATATCTATAGATTTTATTTTAGGCAAGTCTTGATGATTTGAAACGGCTAAATTGATCAAACATAGGCTCAGCTCACTGTCTGCCCCTGGCCGATTGGTTGTTATTTTAAAAAACAAAAACTTACATTTAACTGACAATAAATGCTCCAAACGTTTTTCTAAACTAACTTAAATTAAATTAAAAAACTTAAAACGAAATTATATTACTTTGACATTACATACAAAACTGAACTATTTTAATAGCTGAAACAGTAGTATAAGCTGTTTTGGTGGGGGGGGCATTCTGATGAGCTGTCGGACCCAGGCCGGGCTAGGGCCTGAGTGTCTCTAGGGCCTAAATTTGAGGCCCGTGCAGGGCTCTAGAAGAAAGTAGTCCAGAAAATAATCCAAGTAATCCAGATCTGTAGAATCCCAGCAGAAACATATCCAAAAACGTATCAGCAAATAAGCAAACAGACAGGTACCAGCATGAAGCGGCAGCACAAGCGAGCCAGCGTTCTCACACCGGAAGTGACGTTGAACCAATCCTTGTTCAGAAATCATTCCTTCAGAAATCGATTTACTTATTTTTTTTTATTTATTATATATACTGTATATATTATTTATTATATATAAAGGGAGATGTCAGGGGACAAAATTGCACAGTTTAAAGTGGTTTTATATATATACAATATATATAAACAATATATACAACAATATAATTTGGCTATGTCAATGTACAGGCCCAAAAACATGAACACAATTCAGTTTCCACACTACTCACTCTACTTTTCCCCCTAAATGGCTGCCTGAAACTATTTTATATTACTTTGGCTCTGCCTACTTTTGGGATATACCATTTTAGGCGAAGATATGTTATAAAACAGATAACAGAATACAAACAAGCAAACCTTCATAGTATTTATTCAGCACTCCACAGCAGGGCTGGACTGGAACAAACAAAAAACAGCCCTGGCATTTTTTGGTCCAAGCGACCCACCACTACGATCAGAATTTGTCCAGCCGGACAGCACCCATATATAGCCTAGGACTGTTGTTCAAAACACACACACACACACACACACACACACACACACATTTGGACCCCATAACATAGGGAATACCAGG